ATTATATTTAAAAATTGCTTTTTGAAGCAAGTGATGGTGGTTCACACCTGTAATCCTAGCTATTCAGAAGACAGAATGAGGATCATGATTCAAATATAGCCTGGGCAAGAAAGTCTGTGCAATTCAACTCCAAATAACCCCTTCATTCCACAATGAAGGAAGATGTGAAGCTTTAGCCAGAATGGTAAAACACTAGCCTTGATAACAAAAGCCCAGGGACAGTACTCAGGCTCTGAATTCAAGCCCCAAGACCAGCACAAAAAGAAGAAAATGAAAGTAAAGAAGTATTTCATATTGAAGTACATTAGCAAATTGTGTGTGTGTGTGTGTGTGTGTGTGTGTGTGTGTGTGTGTGCACACGTGCATGTGCCCGTTCTGGAGCTTGAAATCAAGGCCCCAGGGAAGGGGGCACTGTCACCTGCATTTTCCTTTTTATCTAGCCTAATGTTCTACCACTTGAACCACAGTTCCATTTCCAGCTTTAGAGTGGTTAACTGGAGATGAACTTTTTTATCTTCAGGCTGACTTTGAACTATGATCCTCAGATCTCAGCCTCCTAAGTTGCTAGGATTCCAGGTATGAGCCACTGTCACCTGGCTCTTCTTTACTTTTAACTTATGATCCCTTAAAAATCTATTATTTAAGCTATTAATCTAAACAACAATCAAATCTAGAAATAATTCTTGGGGCTGGGAAGGTGGCTCAGTGGTAGAGCTCTTGCCTTGCATGCCTGAGGCCCTGGGTTCTATTCCTCAGCACCACATAAGCAATAAGAAAAAAGCCGGAAGTGGCGCTGTGGCTCAAGTGGTATGAGCACTAGCCTTGAGCTGAAGAGAGGAGCAGCGCCCAGGCCCAAAGAACCCCCCCAAAATAGAATATAATTCTTTTCTTAAAACTCATTTTTAATTTTTTTTCTTTTGAGCCACAGTACCACTTCTGGTTTTCTGGTGGTTAATTGGAAATCAGAGTCTCACAGACTTTCTTACCTGGGCTGACTTTGAACCAAGATCCTCAGATCTCAGCCTCCTGAGATTATAGGTGTAAGCCACTGGTGCCTGGACTTTAAACTCAATTTTGATTTTTAAAACTCAATTCTGATTTTGGCAAATCAGAATTTAAAATAAAGTTTGCCCTAAAAATAAAAAGTGAAATTCAACTTCTCCACTGATAAAATTTCAAGGTGGTTGCTAGCCTGTTAAAATTTAGAATTATAGATTATATCTAACTGAATTATTAAATTTTCCATTTTGGGTAAACAATCCAAATTTAAATTCTGCGGAGTGGATATAGGTTTTATAAATTATTATCAGGAAAGTAGTAGACAATTTCTTATGAATGATATTGATTCTTAGTTCTCTTTGAAGTAAGTACTCATTTACCTTGTGTAATTAATTTGAAAATCTTACATATGTCATTGTATCATAAATGTCCACCATATTTTTTTCTTCCAGTTGAGAGAATTGGTGTAGTTGAATTCTCATTGACCATATTTCAAATGGCTGACTAGTCAATTTTACAGCATAAAGTAATAAACCTTGGGAGCCGTTTTACCAGCTCTCTGGGCCTTTCCACATACTGCTCTATCTGGAATATTCTTTCCTGTCCTACATAACATAAATACATGTTTTTTGTTTACCTTTAACAGAGGAGCTAACATGACCACTCCAATCTGACTCACTTGTCTTCTTGATTTCATATAATGGTAGTTTTCCCCTATCAGTATCCATAATTCTTCCTCATTTACTTTTAGCTTGAAAATTGTGTAGGATTTTACCACATGGATTTATCATAATTTGCACACACACACACACACACACACACACACACACACACACACACAAAACAGTCTCTTAATGAAGCAATTAAAATTTCCTTTTCATTTTTGACTATTACCAAAAAAAAAGAAATTCCAAAAACAAATGTTTTAAATTCCTGTGAATATTCTGCAGATGAGTTGATCCAGAGAAGCTGACAACCTCCCATTGGCTTTAGCTGTGTTTAAATCTCCTGTTTCCAAAATAATAATAATAAGTCTCCTGTTTCCTTGCCCTTCATTTTATGACTAGTGTTCATAAAAAGTATATGATGACCTCCAAATAAAGTAAAAATTTATGTGCTTAATTTATGTGATAAGGTGAAAATTTTAGATTTCCAAGGAGGCTTGTCTTTAGCAGAAACTGGGCAGCTTTATGAGAGAAATGAATTAACTATACTTGGTACATACTGAACATTTGTGGTTTGAGTCAACATTGGTCTCCTCTGAACCACATCTCCATGGACTGTAATGCCATATTGTACCACACTTTCTTGACTCACTTAATCATGAGTAAATAATAGGCACTTTCTCAATTCTGTTATTTGTGACTAGTGCTACAATATACATAGAAATGCAAGTATTTTCATTGTGGGTGAGGTTGGATTCCTTTGGATAGATAACCAGGAGTAATATAGCTAGATCACATAGTAGGTCGATAGTTTAGTGTTTTGAGGCACACTATGCTGATTTGCAAAGGGACAAAATTAATTTACAGTCACATCAATTGTGTTTAGGTGTTCCATTTCACCCATATCCATATGGTGGGTTTTGTTTTCTTGATGATAGTCATTCTGACTGGGATAAGATGAAATATCATGGTAATTCTGAGTCGCCTTTTTTGATGTCTTGATTTAACTTATGGCTAAAAACAGCCTTACATGAACATGTGTCATGTATTTAGTGTCCATTTGTATTTCACTGCTAGTGTTCTCATAGATCTACCTTTGGAAGTAACTTGACCTTTAGACTATAATGTGATATGGGGAGGTTCTTTTCTGTTTTCTTTTTTCTATCTACTTTTTTTTCTATTTATTTTCTTTTCTATACTGTTTTCTATTCTATATATATATATTTATTTTTATTTGCTGTTGTTGTTGCTCTTTTGTTTTTAGTACCTGCTATCTAGGCTCTGTCCTTGAGGGTTTTGTTTTTGTTTTTGTTTTTGTTCAAGGCTAGTACTCTACTACTCAAGCCACTGTTCAAATTCCTGTTTTTTGGTAATGAATTGGAGATCAAAGTCTCATGGACTTTCCTGTCTAGGCTAGATTTGAACCAAGATCTTTAGATCTCAGCTTCTTGATGAAAATAAGAATGCTGATTTTTAAATCAGTGTCTGTTTGATTTATTTAATGGTTTTGTCTTTGTGTCATCTCATAGCTTAATTATTAGTAAGATTAAGGCACTTTGTTTTTGCTGAATTCCTAGGGGAATTTCGATTTCTTCAATGTTCATGTCTGTATAGTTCCTGGAGCACTGTCCTTTCTCAAATAAATAAATAAGTAAATGACCCTATGGTAAAATGTTCTCTAAATATAATAAATATCACTTCTTTTCCAAATATTTGTTATTTTTCTTTTTAATACAGAATCTTACTTGTTTATAAATTTGGAGTATATTCTTTTACATTTTGCTCTTTTGCTTTTAAACATAAATAGAAAATCCCTCTGAAAAATATAAACACAAAAATACATGTTCTTACACTTTGGGTACTATATTATTACTTAACTACTGTCCACATCGATTTTCCAGATTTTTGCCATGTTACATTTATCTTGATGATACTTCTTTTGCTAGTAATATGACTACTCATTAAATGTTTTGTAATATCCCACACTATCGTATAAAGATTACAAAATATTATTTGCAAGGAAATTTGTCATATTATTCTCTATACCTTTCTATTTCAGTTTTTTAAATTTTTATGTATATATTCTATATAAATGTCAAGTTCCAGAAGAGTGGTTTTAAATTTTTCAAAAAATTAAAACTAAAATACTATTTTTGTTCACCTTTTGTTGCTACTGTAACAAATACCAGAGAGAAACTATTTTAAAAGAAGAAAGATTTAAGCAGAAGATATGGCTCAGATGGTTAAAAAAAAAAGCCAGAAGAGTATGAGGCCTTGATTCAAGTACCAGTTATGAAATGGAAAGAGAGAGAGAGAGAGAGAAGGGATAATTTACATTTTATATTTGGCTCACAACTTTCCAGGTTTCAGCCCATGCTTGCATAACTCCTTTTTCTCCTTATGGCATCCACAAAACAAAAAGAGTGTAATAAGAAGAGGCTAAGGTATAGCTGTTAAGGAACACTCCTGGAATCTACTCCTCCAAACAGGCTCACCTTCCAGTTTCAGTACCTCTCAAATCCATTCAATTTTTTTTGTTCAACAATAGACTAAATTATTCATTAATTCAAAGACTTCATGACTCCAGTGGTTCAGAAAACATATCCAGAGGTGAGCTTTTCTAATCTCCCAGGCATCTCTCAATTGAAGTAAGTTGATAATTGAGATTAATCATGACAAGCAGGAGGCTGAGACCAGGAGGATCACAGTTGGAAGCCAGCCCAGGCAGCAGTCTTTGACACTCCATTTCAACTAAAACCAACAACTCTGAGGCCCTAGATTCAGTTCCGATATTGGAAATATTAACCATAGCAAATATTATTTAGAAAAGGTTGATAACTGCCCATGATTCTCAATGTTCTATCATTTCTTCTAAATCTCCATGTTTCTTAAGGAAAGGTTTAAGGTTTCTCAGGAAACCTTGAAATTATATAGGGTTTATATATAGCACTATTTTTCTGTATAGATTCTGTGGTTAAATATTATATTAATGTTTTATGTTCTTTTAGCTTTTAGATTTATTTTGAAATTTGAGAAACCCTCCCTCATAGTTTCAATCATCTTCCTTTGAATAAGAAAGCATATTATTTATTATAATTATTCAGAGGAACCTACCTACACAAAATTCGGAATCTAATAATATAGGCAAATGATTTTTATCTTTATTCTCAATGTCATTATTAACATGAACTGTTGTTTTTCTGCTATATAGCATTTATCTACTCCATTATTTGATAACATATCACAAATGATTTTAATATGGTAGGGATTAATATCTAAAGTAAATGTAGTTATCAACTGTGAACCAAATTTATGTGATGCTTTGTTATATTTCAGGTTAGTGGGATGGTTTAGCCATGAACTGAGCACTAGATTTAAAATGGATAACAGTAAGTCTACCATTTCATTTCAAGATTCACTTTATTTTTGCTTCATTTTAATTTCTGTCTGTCTTTGTATTATACATGTATAAAATATAAATGTCCCTATAGAAAGAGCACTTTGAAAATGTCACTGAGAATTCTAAAAATAAGAAATGACATTTTCAGTGTGTAAGACTACATGTTTATAGGTTTTTAACCTGATTTTGAGTCTGTTCTTTCATAGAGAAGTAAAAGAAAATGAAATCTAGCATATGACTCCTGAAGCTTGGCAGATCCCATAATGACAGAGAGACAACACATCAGACAGTGAAAGCAGAAGGGGTTTGAGACTTGTGGTCAACCCAGGGAGGCCTGGGTAATCCATGCTGCTTCTGGATTCTTTTGTTATCTTGCAAATCAAACTGCATCATCATCTGCTCATTGTTCCTTCTCCTCCACATAGCTCATGAATGATATAGACAGAATAGATGGACACTATTTCAGAGTTTACAGTCCCAAACTGTAAACCATGTAGCACATAACATTAATTTTTTAAATACACATTTTAAACTCTGTGTTCTGAAATATTTCCTTTTTTGTGGAGAGGGGCGATTCTTGCTATATACCAGAGAACAGCAATTAAGCCCTAGTGGGTAGGAGTGACACTGGACCATACAAGGGGCTCACAAGGGTCTTCCTCCTTCTTCCTGTATGAATCTTCCTCAGTCACATAGGAAGCAGGATGTATCATGTGCGTTTAGAGAATTTCATGCAAACTAGATCCTTCAGAGTTTCTCTGATCTGGAGCTAGTGTTTCATATAGATATTTGAATATATAATAGCCCGGTGATAGGAGAACTGCTTTTTAAATTAGGTCAGGAAATGATTTTTTAAAAAGATTTTTGAGGAATATATTGTTTCTTTCTGAATATTCAGCTGTATATTGTGGTTCTAAAGCTGGCATCAAGCTATATAAATATGCCAGTATGATCATGTTCAGTGGAAAATTAAAGAACAGATAGCGGATTGAATTTACCCAACAGATTACAGTTTGACTAGCCCCAGGTGAGATTAATTTCTAAACACTCATAATGCTTTCTTAGGTATAGTTTTAACTTGATTTCTAACTAGCTAGCTTTTTTCTTTGTCATGGGGCTTGAACTCTGGGCCTGGGTGCTGTCCCTGAGCTCTTCATCACAAGGCAAGTGCTCCCCCACTTGAATCACAGCACCACTTCCAGTTTTCTAGTGGTTAATTGGAGATCAGAGTCTCACAGACTCTCCTTCCCCAGCCTGGCTTAGAACGGAGATCCTCAGATCTCAGTCTCCTGAGTAGATAGGATTACAGGAGTGAGCTACCAGTGCCCAGTTTAGGAATATTTTTAATGTCTGCTTGTATCTAAGGAAGAATCCTAGAGGTCCACATAACCTTCTTAGGTCATTGTAGTCATCTGTCTGCCTTTGGGTGACATGCAAGTATGTGACATTCAAATCTTGATGTTCTCACTAATTATAGGCCCTTGTGACAGAAAAGCAAAGCAGGTACCAAAAAAAAAATCTGGGTTGGAAACAGGAAAGTGGAGGACAGGGTCCAGAAAATCTTCAACAAGAGGTTCTTGTGATTTCTTGTGACTTGTAGTTTGTTGAGAAGGGAGGAACAGGGAAGATCAGAATTTCTAGTGAAGCAGAAATGTGCAAGAAGTTTTATTCAGCTCTGACAACCTACTGTATCTTTACTTTTTCTATACTCCATTAAAGAATATTCTAAGCAATTATAAACTTTTTTTTCAGAACTAAAATTAATCCCAGGAGCCAGTGGATTCCGAATTTCAAATCCTCCCATGTTGTTGGTCTGCTCCTTGCATGCTAGTCTAGAGGTAAGAGAGTTACCTGGGATTTAGCCTTCCCCATCTTCTCCTTTCACCTTATCTGGTTATGAGAGATTTAGCACTATTTTTTGTAAGTAACAAGATTATTATTTAAACTGGGCATGGTAGCTCATTTTTATATTACTTATCAGTAATCAGGAGGCTCACAGTTCAAGGGAAACACACAAAATATTAAAGAGACGCCATTTCAAAAAATCAACTGAACGTGCCTGGTAGTTTATACAGTAGTGATATCCAAGCAGGAGGAAAAGTAAGGAGCGTTGTTGTCTAAGGGCATTCTGAGCAAAAAAAAAAAACACAAGACCTTGTCTAAAATAAACCAAGAGCAAAATTAAAGACTGGGGGGGGTGTGACTCAAATGCCACAGCCCTTGTTAGCAAGGGCAAAGCCTGGAGTTCAAATCCCAGAAGTGCAAAAAAAAAAAAAAGGAAGGAAGGAAGGAGGGAAGGAAGGAAGGAAGGAGGGAAGGAAGGAAGGAAGGAAGGAAGGGAAAGGAAGGAAAAGAAAAGAAAAGAAAGATTACAAATATGAATAATCATTGGACCAAAAAAAGCATTTGTTTTGTGTATTTGGACTGTGACTGTGTCATGATTGTTATCTTTTATTTATATTTGCTGTCCCTGGCCCAGAGCTTGTCACTTTGCTATTTCCCAGTATTCATTAAACTGTCTCAACCTGTGTAGAGAAATGTTTTCTGTTTCACAAATAATATGTGTAGACTTGAATGCATTGTTAAAAAATGTTTAGTGTAAATCTGCAATTAATTAATTTATATTTATTAAAGAAGTATTGTGTTTGCTGGGGAATCTATTTCTTCCAGTTCTAGGGACCTGGTAAAGATGGATTTATAGGAAACAGAAAAGCTAGAGTGAAAGTAATACCTAGTAAATCAGCCTTGCTACATAGGTCAAGGTTTTGTTTTCCTGGGTCTTGGAAAATCAAGAAGAATATCTCCTACTATAACTCATTTTTTGTAATTTTACTTATATTTCTGCCTTTTTTGGTCTCATCCTAAAAACAAAGCAGAATTTTCATAATCCAGTTTATATGTAAATTTAGATATAGATAGATAGGTGGATAGATAGATAGGTAGATATGCATGCTTGAAAAACAAGCTGTGATTTGTTTGGTAACACTTCACGATATACTAAATTCATTCAGGCAAATATATATGGTTACATATCAATATTTCATACATAACTTGCCAAATAGTTAATAATATTAACACAAATACTATTTGAACATATTTCTAACATACATTTGAGTGAAATACACTGTAAACAAATATGCATACCTGTTCTAGTAGATGTCTTATACCAATATATATTAAAGTAAAAATATTTCCTATTTTAGTTAATCCTGTTGAGATTTGAGAATTAAGTAACAGGACTGAAATGTCTCAAATCTTTTCAAAAAACTAAATTCAATGAACAAGCATAGCAGCTTCTTATTCTGGCCACTGGATGGCAGTGCCAAGTTCCTCAGCTTTATTCAACATTACCTTCAAGTGATAATTGCATATTCTTTGCATCCAATTTGGAGAGCACTTACTCAAATTGACCACTAGAGGTCAATAATTTTGACAAATTATTACTAACAAAATTTTTCAGCCTGTAAATACGTATTTTCTGTTTCTTCTTAATAATGTAAAATTCTACCTAGTAAAATGGGTAATAATGTTTAAATTTATCTTATAATATCAATTTAGAGACACATTTAGTTTAAATATTTTGGAACAAGATTTTATTTGCAAGTTTCTATTAAGGAGAAGATAAAAGTAAAAGGGAACACACCAAGACATCTTAGGAGGAACTAGTAGTTAGCATGATTTCTTCAATTTTGTTTTGCAAACAAGTTCTGTGAAATAGCTAGAAATTTCTCTCTCTCTCTCTCTCTCTCTTTCTCTTTCTCTTTTTCTCTCTCCCTTCCTCCCTCCCTCCCTCCCTTTCTCTCTCCCTATTTCTCTGTGTTGGCAAACATATTTAAGTCAGGATTTTGCTTAGGCTGGTCTCCTTGACCTTGCTGTATAACCCACGCTGGATTTGAACTCAGATCTTCGTGCTTCAGCCTCATAAGCAGTGTGGTTACAGGCATACATCACCACACCTGGCCAGAAAAGGTCATATTAGTATGACTTCTGCAAGAAAATGACTTGTTTTCCACTCTTGCCCCTTCTGCTGTGGGAAGAGAAGTTCTTTTCCTTTGTTATTGTTTTTTCTATTCCTTTCATATTGTGTTAGTCCCCTAGATGAAGTTTTATCTCTGTCCCTTTAATATTTGCAGCTTAAACCTTTTAAAATATCCCAAAAAGCCCAACAGCAGTGAAGTCCTCTAGAACCTCTAATTACTTAAGTATTTCTCTAGAGCTTCTTACTGAAATCTTACAGTACTGAGGCTTGTTCTGACAAAGATTCCCTTTAACTAATCAAATTTTTGGTGGTTATAGGGCTTTTAAAAAATTCCCTCTCTCATTATAAACTGTAAAAGTTTAAAATTGCAAAATAGCACACAGTTTGCAAGTTCTGTTACATTACACAACTTTTTATGCATTTCTATAATAGCAACAAGTGAGTAAGCACGTGTAAATTAGCAATGTTGCTACCTGCCTAGTCTTTTTAAATTAGTTATTTTATTGTAAGGGACAAATGGAGGAAGCAGGAATAAGTGAAAGAAATAAATGCAAATACTCCTACTTAAAAATCATTTGCTTTATCTTAGATTTTTAAAATCTTCTTCTCCTTCTTCTCCTTCTTCTCCTTCTTCTCCTTCTTGCTCTTCTCCCTCTTCTCCCTCTTCTCCCTCTTCTCCCTCTTCTCCCTCTTCTCCCTCTTCTCCCTCTTCTCCTTCTTCTTCTTCTTCTTCTTCTTCTTCTTCTTGATGGTTGAGGTGATGGGGCTTGAAATCAGGCCCTGGGCACTGTCCCTGAGCTCTTTTGCCCAAGGCTAGCACTCTACCACTCAGAGCCACAGAGCCAGTTTTCTGCTGGTTATTTGGAGATAAGAGTCTCACTGACATTCCTGCCCCAGGCTGTCTTTGAACCACGATCCTCAGATCTCAGCCTCCTGAGTTGCTAGCATTACAGAAGTGAGTCACTGATACAAAGTTTATTTTAGGCTTTTGAGTAATCTGAAGAAGAAATGAAGTATACAGGAAGAGGCATGCATGTTATGTATAAATGTTATATCATTTCATGTATGGGACTTGAACATGAAGGTTTAAAGGAGTAGTCCCCTGCAGATACTGAGGACGAACTATACTTCACAATACCCTTCTTCTGTATGGAGCTTGTTGCTGAATCAGAGATTTTTCTAGAGTTTTTAATTTAATAAATGACAAAAGCATAAAATGGGGGAAAATAGTAGGAGGAGGAGTGCAAAAAGCAAGTGCAGGAGGACTAAATATACTTGAAATACTTCGTATTCATGTATAAAAAGAGAATAATGAAACCTATTAAAAATTTTGACAAGGAGGGGACAAGAAAAAGTATATGGAAAAGTAGAAAATACTATAAGGAGAATCGTTTGTATAATGAATATACACTAATATAAAAAGATGAAAAATACCTGGAATAAGAAAAAAAATCCTAGAGTACTGCAGTTTCCAGAAAGAAATACGGAGTGGTCCCTCTTCTGGCTTCTTTTCAGACTTGACCAACCAAACCTCGTTGCCTTGCCAGTCTCTGTTTTTGCCCTCTGAGAGTATGCTGGTAGCAAAATGTGGCTGAGTTCCTTTGAGTCTTTGTGGCCCCAAGTCTACTTATATCTTCTTCTACATGAGAAAATGAGGCTATGTTTTCTACCAAATTTTATATAACCCGTATATTAATTATTTGTTTTCCTTGCTGAGAATATTTTATTTCACAATTTAACTGCATACTTTTTAAAACTATTAAAGTAGGGGAAGTTTGATAAAGCACTTAATGGAATCCTATCTTTTTTATATACACATTGTCTCTATACTTTTTATATATTATACAGTTTGTTAGAATAGAAAGGTTTGTTTATAAAATGGTTCAGAAAGAAAAATTGATGTTTTGTAGAATTTAAATGCAGTTAGTGGGGCTGGAAAGGTGGCTCAGTGGTAGAGTGCTTGCCTTGCATACATGAGGCCCTGGGTTCGATTTCTCAGCACCACATAAGCAGAAAGAGCTGGAAATGGTGCTGTGGCTCAAGTGGTAGACCACTAGCCTTGAACTGAATAGCTGAGGGACAGTGACCAGGCCCAGAGTTCAGGCCCCACGACCTACAAAAAAATAAATAAATAAAAATAAATGCATTTAGTAAGGTATGTTTCTTGGTGATTATGCTCATAATTTCTTATTTATATGTATTTTTAATGACATTTTGTCAATGTTTCTGTTATGGAAATGACCTTCAATATTTAATGGTAGAGTATTTAAAAGAGGACATGATTTTACAAAAAAAAAATACCTAAAATCAGATACTGATTTAAGAGGTCAAAAGTGGGCATTGCCTTCCTATGTATGATTTACACTGAAATTTTGCTTCTTTGTGAATTCATAGAACACTTAATCTTATTCCTTTTCATCCTGCAGATCTTTAGAGAAGCAACCGTGAAAGCATTGAGAAGAAAATCTATTTTGCTTACCGGCTATCTGGAATATTTGATCAAACATTATTATAGCAAAGATAAATCAGAAACCAAGGAACCAATGGTGATCATAATTACTCCATCCCATATAGAGCAAAGGGGCTGCCAGTTAACACTAACGTTTCCTAATTCTGAGAAAAATATGTTTGAAGAACTATCAAAAAGGGGAGTGGTTGTAAGTATGTTTCTAACAGTGCTGGTTTTCTATATGGGTTGCATGTTGGGAGGATTTTATATTCTTCCATTACTCCTTCTTGCATGTCATTTCATATCACTCAATCATTGTCAACAGCATTCATCACTGAGCTAATGGAGGAGAAGGGAGATCAGTCTGCCATTCTGCTGAAAGGGAAGAAACCACAAATTTAGGGTATTAGAAGAGTCTTATGGCTTTACTCATTCTTTACAAAACAGGATGGAAAATTATTTCAACATCATGATTCATCAAAACTCATATAACATATATATTTAATATGTTGAATGAAAGAACTTAGTTTAGTAATAAAAGTGAATTTGATTTAGTTTCTTGCTTAAACTAAGTTATTTTTTACCTGTCACTTTAGTAAGAAAGCAATAGTGACATTTCTTAGCAGTGGTCACATTTTGAGGATTTTTTTAAGTTTAATTTTATTGTAAAGATGCTGTACAGAGGGATTATAACTACATGAATAAGGTACATTTCTTTTTGAACACTGTTAGCCATTCCATTGTTGTTCTCCTACTATCCTTGCCCTCCACCACTCCTCACCCCACCCACAAAGTTGTAAAGATCACTTCCAACATTGTGTCCTGTGAGTATCATTGTTGCAGTGGGTCATCTTTTGTACTTCTTTCAGCATTTTGTTATTTTCCTTCCCTCCCCCCAATCAGATAAGTGCATATACAAGGAGGCTACCAGAATCAAAGACAGAGATTGTCAGGGGTAAATTAATGAAAAAATAAAAAATGAAATAAAATATGAAGAAAGAACTAGATATAGTACATGGGTGACATCAAGGTTGACAACTAAAAAAGAAGACCTGCTGTTTCTATGTCTTGGAGTTCATTTCAATTAGCATCATTTTGTATGGTCATATGTTCATAGCTCTTGAGCTATTATGATTCTGTCAGAACTAACCTATGCTTATACTAATTACTACATATGAGGGAAACCACAGAGCCTATGTTTCTTAGGGTCTGGCTTACTTCTTGTAATATGATTTTTTTCCAAGTTGTTCCATTTCCTTATGAAAGAGGTGATGCCATTCTTTCTGATAGAAGCATAAAATTTCATTGTGTAAATATACCACATTTTCTTGATCCAATCATCTATTCAGTGGGTCAATAGCTTACCTATGGTAAATAATGCTGCAATGAACATAGTTATGCTGGTAGCTTTTATGTGGCCTAGTGTGAGATCATTTGGATAAATGCGTAGGAGTGGGATTGTTGGATTATAGGGTTTTCTATGTTTAGTCTTTTGAGGTACCTCCATACTGCCTTGCAGAGTGGTTGAACCAGCTTACATTCCCACCAACAGTGGAGTAGTGTTCCATTTTGGCCACATCCCTGTCAGCATCTATAACTATTTGTTTTCTTGATAATTTCCATTCTAACTGGGGTGAGGTGGAATCTCAATGTGGTTTGGATTTACATTTTTTTATGACCAACAACGCTGAGCATTTCTTCATGTGTCCATTGGCCATTCTTATTTCCTCTCCAGAGAAGTCTCTTTTTAATTCTTTACCCACCTTATTAATGGGGTTGCTGTTTCCCTGGGGACTTGTTATGGGGGGGGTTAATTTTTTGAGCTGTAGGTGTATTTTTGATAAGAGACCCTTGTCTGTTGTATACCTAGTAGAGATCTCCCAATCTATGGGCTAGCTATCTTCTTTGCCATGCAGAAGCTCTGCAGTTTAAGGTGATCCCATTTATCCAGACTTTCTTTGGTTTGTTGTTTTTCTAGATCTTTATTTAGGAAGTTTCCAGCTGTGCTGAGGAACCCTAGCATATCCCCTATCTCTTCTTGTATCCCTTCAGACTCTCTGCTTTTACCTCAAGGTCTTTGATCCATTTGGAGTTGATTTTTGGTGCAGTGTGATATATAAGGATCTAACTTCAATTTTCTACATGTGTGTAGCCAATTCTGCCAGCACCATTTTTTGAAGAGACTGTCTTTCTTCCATCTGATAATTTTGGCTCCCTTATCGAAAATTAGGTGCCCATCCATCTGTGGGATCATGTCTAGGTCTTCAATTCTATTCCATTGGTCTTCTTGCCTGTTCATGTGCCAGTACCAAACTGTTTTTATAACTATAGTTTTATAATATAATTTGTAGTTTGATATTGATATTCCTCCAGCACTGTTCTTCCTGCTGAGGATTGTTTTTGCTATTTGGAGTTTTCTATTGTTCCATATGAATTTTTTGGATTGTATCTTCTGTTTCATTAAAGAATGTTGTTGGGATATTGATAGGTATTGCATTGAATTTGTAGATAGCTTTGGGCAGTATTGCCATTTCCACATTAATTTCTCTCAATCCAAGAGCATGGGAGGTCTTTCCACTTCTTTAAATCTGCTTTAATTTCTTTTTTTTTAAGTTTTTAAAGTTTTCATCATAAAGGTTCTTGACCTCTTTGGTTAACTTTATTCTTAAGTATTTTATTTTTCTAGAGGCTATTACAAAAGTAGTTGCTTTTTTATTATTATTTCAGCCTCACTCTTTATTGTTGTTATATAGAAAAGCTACTAAGTTTTGTGGGTTAATTTTATACTCTGCTACTTTGCCAAAGTTTTGGATCAGCTCAAGTAATTTGGGGGAGGAGCCTATGGGGTTCTTTAAGTACAGAATCATGTTGTCTGCAAAGAAGGAGAGTTTTACTTTTCTTTCCCTATTTGGATCCCTTTTATGTTTGCATCTTGCCTTATTGCTCTGCCTAGGAATATTGAAGAGGAGTGAGAGAGTGGACATCCTTGTCTCATTCATAATTTTAGAGGAAATGGTTTTAACTTATCATTAAGTATAGTGCTGGCTGTAGGTTTGTCATATATGGCCTTTATTATAGTGAGGAATGTTCCAGGATTCCTAGTTTCTCCAGAGCTTTCATCATAAAGGGGGAATTGAACTTGTCAAATACTTTTTCTGCATGTATTGAGATGATCATGTGGTTCTTGTACTGCTCCTATTGATGTATTGAATTAAATTATTTGCCTTACATATATTGAACCAGCTTTGCATCTCTGGATGACTTTTTGATTAGATGTTCTAGTCGGTTGGCCAGAATTTTATTTAGAAGTTTTGAGTCAATGTTCATTAAAGAGATGGGTCTATTCTGTTTCTTTGATGAGTCCCTATCAGGTTTTAGGAAGAGGGTTATGCTGGCTTTTTAGAAGAAGTTGAGAACAAGTAGTGATCTTCCACTATCAATTTCATTGAAGAGTCTGAGGAATATTGGAGTGAGTTCTCCTTTGAAAGCTTTATAGAATTCAGCTGTGAATCCATCTGGTCCTAAGCTTTTCTTGGGTAAGAGGTTTTTTTCTATTTCAATACTTGATATGGGTCCGTTACTTGGCTTAGATCTTCTAGGTTCAGTTTGGGTATATCAATCTTTGCTAGAAATTCATCCACTTTTTTCTGTATTGTCAAATTTGCTAGTCTACAGGTTTCATTATGATGTTGCAAATCTCATTTGTTTCGGTTTTGATGTTCCCATTCTCATCTCTAATTTTTTTAAAATAAGGGATTCCAGTTATATGAACAAGATAATGAGTACATTTCTTATCAAGCATTGCTGGCTCCTCCTTTGTTTTTCCCCTACCATCCCTTCCCTCCCCACCTCCTCAACTACACTTTTATTTGAATGTGTGCTCCCTCCCCCACCCCCTTTCTTTCTCTGGTCATATTTGCTAGGGGGCCTGTCAATTTTGTTATTTTTTTCAAAGAATCAACTGTTTGTTTTGTCAGTCCTTGCTAATTTTTTGAGTCTCTAATTTATTTAATTCTGATTCAATATTGATTATTTGTTTCCATCTACGGTATTGAGGTTTGGTTTCTTACTCTCTTAGAAGGAGCTTCAGATGCATAATTAGATTGTTGGTTTAAGATTTCTCCCATTTATTGATGTAGATGCTGAGTGCTATAAATTTTCCTCTGAGAACTGCCTTTGCTGTATCCCAGAGGAGCTGGTAATTTGTATGTTCATTTATATTCAATATCATGAACATTTGAATTTCCATTCTAATCTCTTCCATGACCCATTGGTGATACAACAATGTGTTGTTCAGTCTCCATTTGTTTCAGATTTTTTTTTGATGGATTCTAGCATTGAGCTCTAATCTATTCCATTGTAGTCTTAGAGGATTCAGGAAATAACTTCAATATTTCTTAGTTTCTATAGATTTGCTTTGTGACCTAAAATTTGGTCTATTTTGGAGAATGTTCCATGTGCTGCTATGAAGAACATGTAATCTGATGCTGCTGGGTGAAATATTCTGTAGATGTCTGTAAAGTCCAGTTGGTCTATGCAGTTGTTTAGCACTGATGTTTCTCTGTTGAGATTTTGCTGAGCTGATCTATCCATCAGGGAAAGTGGTGTGTTAAAGTCACCAGCAATCAATGTCTTTGGATCTAGGTGTGATTTTAGGAAAGGTAGTGTTTCCTGGATAAATTTGGGTGCTCCGGTATTTGTTGAATAGAATTGTTATATCATCCTGTAGAAGAGATCCTTTTATTAGTATGTAGTGCCCTTTTTTTAACCTCTTTTCACTAATTTTAATTTGAAGCCTGTTTTATCTGATATTAAGAGTGGTACTCCAGTTTTTTCTGGGAGCCATTTCCTTGGTAGATTTGATCCCCACCTTTCACTTTCAGAATATGTTTTTGTGGGGAAGGTGCATCTCTTTAAGACAGAAGATAGACGGATCCTGCTTTTTGATCAAACTAGACATTCTACGTTGTTTGATTGGAGAGTTAAGTCCATTTATATTGAGAGTTAGGATTGAGAGGTGTTTGGTAGTTCCTGCGATGTTATCCACCTTCTTAGGGACTGTGTCTCCTAGGTTCTACCTATGTTTATCTGATTCTTTGTTTGGGGACTGTTTTTCTGCCTTCATCGTGTTTTTATTGGTTTTCTATATGTAGGACATCTTTAAGTATCTTTTGTTGTGATGGTTTGGTGGAAACATATTGTTTCAATTTTTCTTTGCTGTGGAAGGTTTTTATTTTTCCCTCAGTTATGGAGAGTTTAGCTGAGTAGGCTATTCTTTGTTGATAATTGTTGTTTTTAGGGTGTGGAATAGTTTATTCCACACTCTTTTTGCTTTCATTATCTCTGCTGATAAATTTGTAGTTTTTCTAATTGGTTTGCCTTTATGGATTATTGATCTTTTGTCCTTGACAGCTTTAAGAATCCTTTCCTTAGACTCTATTGATCCTGTATGGCTTAAATGTGGTTGTGGGATGTCCTGTTCTGGTCTGGTCTATTTGTGGTTCTAAAGGCTTCTTGTATCTGAATGGGTCTATCTTTTTGTATGTTTGGAAAATTCTCAGCTAGGATTCTGTTAAATAAATTTCCTATACCATTATCTTCTGTTTCTAGGCCCTCTTCCACATCCATTAGCCTTAAATTAGGTCTTCTGGTAGTGTCTTCTATATGCTGCATAGAACCATCATATTTTTTGGATTTGTTTTGAACACTTGTCTGTTCTTTCTCTATAATATTTAAGCTATCTTCTATCCCAGAGATACAGTCTTCTGCATGGTCTAGCATACTGTTCCGACTTTCTACGTTTTTATTTTGCTTTCTTCTAATTGGTCAGTTTTAATGGCCTCAATTTCTTTGTTGAAGAAAAATTAGAACAATTATGTATGTATGAAATAATATTACTAAAATTGAAAATACTAATATTGTGCAGTAGAGAATTGGGTGATCAATTTATATTCCAAATTAAGTATATACACAGTTAAGAAGAAAGCCTAGTGATCACCATAGACTGTATCCAGTTGTGAACAGAACAACAAACAGGACTGTATCAAAAAGAAAAAACAAGAAAACAAAAATAAGAGCAAAAACACAAAAAACTAACAGGAAAAAAGATAATAGAAGTAAAAATAAAAAGTTGCAAAAAATAAAAAGAGGAGCAATTTTTATTAAAAAAATTTACAAATAAAAATATATATAATAGAGGAAAAAGAAAAAAAGTATCTTCTGTTTATTTGGGGGATCTTATGTCTTCCCCAAGTCTGTGCTCCAGTCCTTTGATGATGTCTTTGATTTGCTTATGGTGGTTGTTTTTCCCAGTTGCTTGGTTGGTTTCTCAAATCAGCTTGTTTGGGTGTGCAGAAGAAAGTTCTGCTTTACAAGCTTGGGGACCTTGTGAGTTTCTTCCCAAACTAAAAAGCACAATCTGCTTTTCTTTTCTTTCTTTTCTTTTCTTTTCTTCTTCTTCTTTTTTTTTTTAATGCTGGCAGGAGGTGGCTGGAGACAGTAGTTTGTTGCTGCTAGGACTGAACTTGGCATGGTGGGGTTTTGGCCTGTCTGGAGTCAGTGGATTTTCCCAAAGTGGGGAGCCCCCCTTGAGCCACCAAGCTGGATCCTCTCATGACTTTATAACCTGCCCAGTTCTTATTTGTTATCTTTAGTGAATTTTAGTGAGTTTCCCGCAGCTGTTAGCGTTGCCAGTTTGGCTGCTGTACTGGTGGAATTCCTCTGCTGCCTGCAGTAGGGTGTGGCTGGCTCTCTGAGCTCACCAAGTAGTGAAGGTTGCTCCACCCTGGCCCTGTGAGGAGTTTCCTCCTCATGGGTAGGGCAGCCTTTCCCTAGATGGACCCCACTCTCACAGGTACGAATCCTTGTCCTGAAGAAAAATGGTGCCTTCCTTGCTACTTTTGTGTCCCAAGTTCTGTGCTAGCTATTATAGCAGAGTCTGTGCCACCATCAAATATGGCATTCTTCTCCAGTGGCAGAGAGGGGAGAGTTGCCTTTCCTAAGCTGTCCTATGGGAAGGAGAGGGGATACTTATGGTTTCCCTTGGCTTTTTGGCCCATCCTAATCTGAGCCCAACAGTGGCCAGCAGGCTGTGGGAGTTTTCTCCTGATCATCCAGTCTGTGCTGGAGGTAGATGAAAAGATGCGGCCTTTGGTCTCTGGTGCATTTGCTTAGGCTTTGTTTGGCTGATACCATGGCAGCCGCAGGCAGTGGCAACCGCTTGTGCTCAAGTCTGTCTTCTTGTACAAACTGCCTAAATTTTTCCTCACTAGGCAGAATCGCTGGATTATTACAGTTTATTTGGTGTGATTTTTCCCATTGTCAATTATTCCCTGCACTGCAAAAACTAATTTCTTGGGGAGAGCTTACTAATAGCCCAGGTACTTCTCCGCCATCTTCCTCCAGTCTCCTCAAGGATTTTCTTTTGCGGGGGTCCGGTTGTGAACTCTGGGCCTGGGCGCTGTCCCTCAGCTCTTCAGCCCAAGGCTAACGCTCTACTACTTGAGCCACAGTGCCACTTCTGGCTTTTTTCTTTTTGCTTATACGGTGCTGAAGAATCAAACCCAGGACCTCATGCATGCAAGGCAAGTGCTCTACCACTGAGCCACCTTCCCAGCCCCAGATTTTTTTTTTAACCTTTGGATTTATATATCCTAGAGCTAAAATTTCCGGGACAAATATTGATAGGATATGAATTTCTAATCATGAAATTCAGATATTTGTGTACTCTCATGGACCTCAAATCTTCAGGAGGGGTTACTCCGATACTGAAGGTATAAATAAATAGTAGTTCCAGCACTATGTATTGTGCCCTTTTGGGGGGCATGGAAAAATTCACTCAGTCTTAGAAGCTTAATGCTTCTCATTTACATTTTGGGATTTCAAAATACTTAAAGATTTGTTATGGGGATTTAGAAGCACATCTCATACATATACTGTATTATCTGGCTTCAATTAGATGATTTTTAAAGTTGATCATGAAGAACTTTTAGTCAAGTCAATGTTTTTTTGACCCTATTCAATAAACTGTCAGCTGTTCCAAAGAACTAAGCTAACTCGTTATCTTTAAGATCAAGAATTAGAATATTAGATTTAAGGTTAATTTGCTAAAGTTCTCCAGATCTCAATAAAATTCTCAGTCATTAAAATTTGTGCAATGACTCTCACTGTTCCAGAATATTCCCTCACAGTTACTGTATACAGAGATCTAACCAATGCTTGAAGAAGAAAATTCTTGAATGGATTTAAGGAAAATTCTGTTCATATTCCAACCCATTATTACTTTAATTTTCAAATGAAATAACACAATTTAAATTAACAAAATTGGTTATGGAATAATTTTAGAGAAATCACTATGAGTGTTTTATAGAAGTTTATGTTGAATGCAGACTTTCAGTATATGAAAATATTAACATTGTGGATTTTTTTTCTTTCTTTCTTTCGTTTACAGTGTGACAAGAGGGAACCAAATGGCATTCGAGTGGCTCCTGTTCCTCTCTATAATTCTTTTCATGATGTTTATAAGTTTGTCCGCCTGCTCACTTCTATAATTCACCCTGCAAAAACAAAGAACTAGCAATGCTTTCTACAGTAACTTGAGAAACTATCACAAAAAGTCTAGTGGTTATTTTACTATAATTCAAATTTAATTATTAATGGGATTGCAAAATTGATTTATAAAACTGTCAATAAATCATATATTTTAGAGAAAAATCTGATTTCTTTTTTTTCCAAAAGGAATGCACATGGATGGCCAGGTTCTTGGGATTTGAAGGAACAAAGTCCACATGGTACAGCCATGAAGTTCAGAGACTCAAATAGGGCTCATTTTTTCATCATCACTGAAATGTTTTAAATTGTATTATTTCATAATTTGTCTAATCACTTCTTATATGGATTTCTCACATTAGTAGTGGAAAATATTTCACTTTTAGTTCACCAAGAAATATGTTTAAGAATTATGCTCTCTGATATATGCATGTTCCAAGTAATTCCATATTTCTATATATCAACATCTCTTAAGAGAATATATTTCTCCATTTTTCAATAGAGAGCCAGTTATGTTGCCATTGATGCTTCCCTTACAGTGCTATTTCTCCCAATGGAAGAGTAGTATTTGGAAATTGATTTTATTATACATCTATCTATATAGCTACATAAAGGTATACATAGGTATATATGGGTATGTATAGTGATATCAGTTTTATGAATATTTTGCTATTATTTCAACAATTAGTACACTATTTTACCTTAGTCAATAAATGTTGGTTGAAATACATACATATACATATATATGTATATATGGAGAGAGAAAGAGAAAGAGATAGAGAAGCATAGATACATGGAAATTAAGAGAGAGCAATTTCTTTCTGGGCTCTCTGTACTTTACAATTTGCCAATTTTCTTGCTTCTTATCAACTCCACACTACCTTAATTACTTCAACATAGCAGAACCTAGCACCTGGCATGCGTTAAGATTTTTATATTTCAGCTTCTTTTTGTAAAGAGTACTTTGGCTATCCTTGGCATCTTTACTTTTAGTTATAAATTTAGAATGCATCTAAATAAATTTAGAATAAATTTATTGTGCTCCATAAAATCTCCTGCTGGGATTTCAATTGAGTTGCAATTAAATTTTAGTTCTGTTCTATAAGAATTGACTCATTTCAATGTTTATTCTTCCTAGTAAAGACCATAACATTTATCTCCAATTATTCATGATTTCTTTAATGTTTCTCAAAAAGTTCTATTTTCCCCATTAAGACATAGAACATTTATAGCTTAACATACTTTTAAGCAATTTATAATTCCATTGTATTCCACACTTTGTCTTTCACATAAAATGTAAATTTTACCAGATAGCTTGCATTTTTAGACATGCAATTAGAAGAAGCATTTTGATATTTTAATAGTCAAACATCTCTTTAATATTAGTCATTTAATTGCAGAGTCTTTGGTGCAGGAAATAGTTGTCTACAAATAAATACAATTTGCCCTTCCTTTATAATTCTCACCTCTTTTAGTTCTTTTAATTTTGTTGTTATTATTATTTATTTCTTTTGAATTCAATTATATGTATGGATCTGTTTGTGTCTTTTCTTCCACCGTGCTGAAACAGATTCTCTGTCTTTCTGCCATGTCCTCTTTAGCATACATCCATGCAAAATTAACTTATATTGTTAACTTTTCACCAGACCAGGTACAGAAACTTGAAATGCTTTAACATCAAGCATTCTCCTGTCTTCTGTGCCCTGTTTTAATTCAACATAGCATGTTTGGTCTCTTTTTTCACTAACGCATACATATACTGCAACCTTTGCTCACATTATCTCCTCACAATTTGGCATCCTTTTTGTGAATAAAACTGATTAAAAACTTATTTTAGTGATGATATTTCAGATATAAGTTCTATTAATCTTTGAGAAAAAATGTTTTCAATTTTCGTTGTTCTTGTAAATTAGTTTCATATGTAATAGACTTCTGATGAACAGTTCTTTACCCTCACAAAGTACAGAATGCTCACCTACTCGTAGCTCTCACTATTACCCTTACATAGGTCAGCCATTCTTTATTGTCCTTCCATGATTTTTAAAATAATATGCAGTTTTCATATTACATATCAGGTAGAATTTACTTATTTCAATTTTTACTATTTAATAAATCTAAATTGTTTTTAGTCCAGGTAACAAAGCTGGTCCAACACTAATAAATCAATAAATGTAATACACCCTATAAACAGAATCAAGAACAAGAATTATATGATTATCACAGTGATACACAAAAGGCCTTTGACAAAAGTCAACAGACTTTGCCATAATCAAGCTTATCCCCATCATTATACTGAATATGGAAAAAAGCAGGACTGAGACAATGGTGTACACCTTCTCCGCTCTTTTTCATTATGCTGCTAGATTTTCCAGCCACAACAATAAGACAAGTGGAAGAAATAAAAAAGGCTTCAAATAGAGAAGTTAAGCTATCCCTTATATAGATTATATAATACTATACTTAAAAGATTCTAAAGATTTCATATGAAAACTTTTAAGACAGAGTAAGATCCTTAGTACTATAGCAGATCATATTCTTTGTGCATGTGTGTATGTGTCTTTCCAGTTTGGGAATGAATGTAATGGTTAGTTCTTATAATGAGTTCAGTTCTATTTTATGGAAGAGTTTAGGTAGGATTTTAGGGATTAGATTTTTATAAAGCTCTTATAACTTGGGCAGTCAATTAATCTTGTGGGAAATTATTTGTTGGAAAATTCTTAACTACTGCTTCAGTCTCATTGCTTCTTACAAATCTATTTAAGTCATTCACATCCTCTTTGTTTAAATTTGGTAGGTCAGCAATATCTAGAAATTTACTCTTTTTGCCAGTTTTTCCAGTTTATTTGAGTATAACCTTTCAAGATATTTCCTCAAAATTCTTTGAATTTCATTCATATTTTTGTAATATTCCCATTTTATCTGTACTTTTACTAATGAGTCTCTTTCAAGGAATGACCTTTTTATTGATTTTTGTAATCTTTTAGTCTCTATTTCAGTAGTTTCTATCCTATTATTTATTGTTTCTTTCCATCTGATAATTTTTGGTCTGCTTTGTATTAAATTATAAATATGAAAGAAAAACAAAGAATAGTAAAGATTTAGATTAGAATCCATAAAACATATTTCCAACTGAATGACTTCCATAAGCTCATAGAGATATTGTTTTCCATTATATATTACAATTTTAGGTGGTGCTGGTTGTTGAAGCCAGGGCTTTCTCTATGCTAGACAAGCACTTCATCACTGAGATACATCTTCATCTCCCCAATATACATTGTTATTGTTCATATTATATATATATATATATATATATATATGAAATGTAGTCATTAGGAACTTTTTAAACTAATCTTTAATGTGAAGAACATACTCAGTTATTAGGAAGAACAACAAATTCAAATGCAGATTTTGTCACATTCAAATTCTATGGAGGTCATGGAGCATTGCATGCCTAGAAGACTCACACATACACAAACACACACACATACACAAACACACACACACACACACACACACATGCATGAAGGACAGAGATCAAGCAGAGAGACAAAGAAAGGTGACCATAGACCAGGGATTTTATTGGGTGTAGACCTTATTCAAATATGTCTCTTTCGGTGAGATTTAATTGATAAAGTGAAAGCAAGTAGGCATGTATTTCTGGAGGTTACAAGGTGACTAAGAGATGATCATGATGACGTATCTGTATTCACAGCCTGTTCAGGGTACTTGGATCTGGGGGTTAGACGATTCAGATGTGGGTAACTTTCCCAAAGGGAGACATCCAGTAGGAAGGTGGAGATCTGAATGGACCATACCAGGAAGAGATTTAAAACAAGAAACTGTTGTGTTACTGCACATTGACTCTAGCATGAGGATGTCCAAGTTGTATTTACAATGGATGACAAGTCCATGTAAATTTCTAAGAGTTGGCTGCAACTTTAAATAGCATTAGATCTTGCACATATCTAGACATGACCATTTGTTCCTTCCCCTAATGTCACCTATTCAGTAATACAGTTAAGATGTTAGATTTTAATGCTCTCATTGAGCTCCTCCACACATACAACTATGGGGAAGATGCAGTCAGCTCCTCTAAGGAAGGTAATTACTTGGAAAATAGGCAGATCTACCAAGTCATGTCTGCTGTCCTCATGTACCTAAGACAAGTAGTGGAGCTTTAGCTTGGAAGAGCAGTTTGATACAAATCCTTTTTAACTGAATATGGCTCAGTAGATTCAATCTAATATGATTGAGTCACATTCACTATGTCAAAAATAAGCTGTATGACAGTAACTCATGCCTGGAATCATAGCTATTTAAAAGGCTCAGAATGAGGAGAGAATTTTCCAAGCCAGCCTGGGCAGACAAGATTTCAAGATTGTTTCTCAGCCTATAACCAAGAGGAGTGGTATGCACCTATCATCCTAAATTACTTGGGAAGTTACTTGGACCATGGCTCCTGGTCAGACCAAGTGAAAAGCCCAAGAGATTCCAACTCAATGGAAGGAATCTGTATACTTATAACATATGCCTGTGGTCCCAAAAATGACAGAAGTATAAAACAGGTGACTTTAGTACAGACTCATGCTTGGACTGAAAGCAAGGCACTAACTGAAAAAATTACCAACAAAAAGCATGGCTTGGAAATCCACATAGCTAGTGTGAAAGCCTGATTTTTAAACCCCAGAACCATATATACATATGTGATATTTAGAATATCTAACTTAGCTCCCAATTTCCCAAATGCACAAATTCACTTTTGTTCTCTTATTCAGTTTGGATGAAGTGTTTTTTTTTTAATCACATGGACAGTATTTAAGTACACTGGTTGTGGCAAATTTGATGTTACTCTTCAGCATCATGTCATGTCTAGACCCTCTCTCATTGCTTTACCTAAGGCTAAGTGGCTACTAAGTCACTGTTAAAATATGAGAATGTTTGAAGGCAAAGAAGGTAACATTTGATTTTTTGGCCTCTGCTGAAATTTCAATCTCACAAACTCACAATATTACCTTAGGTAAAACAAAGAAGGTCATTTTTGTGCCAATATTTACTAAGTAGAGGTCTTAATTTTCTTTTTCTCAGCATGTGGGCACTTCACCTCATGCAGCTCTTCTTGCATTCTATTGTGTTAAAACAGCAAGCTTGTCAAGAATAGAGACATT